AAATAATGATCTTTAAAAAAGCATCATATGACCCCTTTAACATAATAATAAGAAATTCTTTAGGAGCAAGTCAGCATATTAGAATTATTTCTGAAGGATCGTATGACACTGAAGACTGGAACAATGACTACTAAAAATTCAGCTTTGCCTTCACCGGAATAAAGTACATTTTAAAATACATTTAAGTGGGAAATGTTGTTGTTTCTTAAATTGTAATAAAATTTGACCATACTGTATTTTTTATCAAATGTATGCAGCCTTGATGAGCAGAAGATTTTATGTCATATATAAATGGTCACACAATCACACACATGGTTTTGATTTTTTTTTCCTTTTTTGTATAATTGCCACTGCAAATATTATTTCCCTGATTGAAGCCACAGTGATAAATATAGCATATTGTGGCTGAGTGGAATTGACAGTTTTTCCTTCTTTTAAGCCTGAAAGATGATGACAGTGGAGATCACGACCAGGACAACAGCTCACCGAAAGATGGGGAGAAGGAAAAAAATGATGAAGAGGAGAAGGACTCGAACACTACCAAGAGAAAGGTATAGATAGATAGATCACTTAAACTGAATGAATAGACAGACAGAAAGAAATAATGTGTAAATTATAATAGATTGTTCCATATAACTATGAGCTGCTCTATATCTTCAGGCGGCGGTCCCAGGGGCCGGTGAGCACCCTCTTCAGTACAACTACTCGTTCTGGTATTCTCGTCGCACACCAGGACGGCCAGCCAGCACACAGAGCTACGAACAGAACATTAAACAGATCGGCAGCTTTGCTTCGGTAACCTACAGACACACAAACTCACACTGACATATTTATTCAGACTCGTGTACTGAAGATTCAAACACAGGCACAGTGGGGGATGAAGTTAGACTGCGTTACTGTAGGTCACATGATCACATGATTGACAGTTCAACAGCTGCCCTGTGTTTGTAGGTGGAGCAGTTCTGGCGTTTTTATAGTCACATGATCCGACCGGGTGATCTGACTGGTCACAGCGATTTCCACCTGTTTAAAGAAGGAATCAAACCCATGTGGGAGGTGAAGATTGTTAGTTCACATGTATGTATTCTTCTTTTCCTACTGACAGATAATAGAATTTGTATTGTATTGCATTATAGGATGATGCTAATAAGAGTGGAGGTAAATGGATCATCCGGCTTCGTAAAGGCCTGGCGTCACGCTGCTGGGAGAATCTGATTTTGGCCATGCTTGGCGAGCAGTTCATGGTGGGCGAGGAGATCTGTGGGGCCGTTGTGTCCGTTCGCTTCCAGGTACTGCAATATTTCCTGCAATATAGTTTGTTTCTTTTATAGCATGCAAATAAAACCTACTATTTGCTAAATATTATTTTATAAAATAGCATATCGAAAACAGTGTCATTTGCAGTAAGCAGTATGGCAATTGTTCATTAAGAAAATTGACAGCTCTTTTTGTGTTCATAAGTGGAGCTATTATAATGTAAACAATAGTTTTTCTGTATTGTAATGAAAATGTGTGCTTTTGATTAAAGGAGGATATAATTTCTATCTGGAATAAGACGGCCAGTGACCAGGCCACCACTGCTCGCATTAGAGACACTTTACGCAGAGTCCTCAACCTGCCTCCTAATACCATTATGGAGTATAAAACACACACCGACAGCATCAAGTGAGTTATACAATGCACTCAGATATTTATGTGTATGTATACTACCATTCAGAAGTTTGGGGTCAGTAAGATTAAAAAAAAAAAAATTTTAAGAAGTTGCTACTTCTAATCAGCAAGGATTGGTTAAATATAAAATATATATATAAATATAATGGTCCAAAAAAGTGACTGTATTTATAATGTTACAAAAGATTTCTATTTTACATAAATGCTGTTCATTTGAACTTTCTATTCATCAAGGAATCCTGTAACAAAAAACATAACATGGTTTCCACAAAAAATATTGTGCAACACAACTGTCTTCAACATTGATGATAATAATAAATGAGAAGTAAATCAGCATATTAGAATGATTTCTGAAGGATCATGTGAACCTGACGACTGGAGTAATGATGCTGAAAATTCAGCTTTGAAACAAAGGAATTAGTTACATTTTAAAATATATTAGAATATTTTTTTTAATAAATAAGCGCAGCCTTGGTGAACATGAGGGTTTTTTTTTTCAAAAATGTTGAAAAATCATAATTATTCAAAATGTTGAATGGTATTTTATGTGTAAATGGTAAAAACTGTCTTATCAGTTACAATGAATATAGAGTTATATAGGGGAGAGTGGGGGGAAATCATACTGTCTTCTTAAACTAGAAAAATGATCCATAAATTCATATACAGTATTTGATCACGAGATGCAAGCATTTACTATATGGAAGGTATTACGACTTTTATCAAACGAGTCAAATAATTTCAAAAAAGTTTTTTTCAGATTATACATATTTAGGTCTATAATATGTTTAATATATTTTTACCCTAGATTTTAGCTGTGAGATAAAGTGCATCAGCTTTGCATCTAAATGAAGGAAATATTACAAATACAATTACAAAAACAGATTTTACTATATTAAAATATTCTGATTATTTAAAAAAAACCTTCTGATTTATTAATGTGAAGATTGTGTATCAGTTTACTTGAGAATAGAATTGTGCTTTATTGTATAGTTTTCCCCCCTCATTCTTATTGTTTTTATTTGTAGTGTTGATATATTTGACAGTATTAATATTCATATGTTGTGTGTGTGATCTTCCAGGGCTTGGGAGGATTTCCATGGTCTAGTGAACGCAAGTGGAGGCCGCTAGTTTTTCATCTGAAGAGTGTGTGACGGGTATAAACTCATGACTGACACATAATCACTCACACTGAAGCTGCACGGTTCTCATTATGATATTTAGATTCATTCCCAGCATGTTCATCACTGGGTAAAAGCACTACCTTTTTTCTCCATCTAGATTATCAAGATGTTTTTCCCACCGAAGATGACGTTTCTGAGGAATTGATCTGTTTTTAAAAGAAAAACGAACACGACGTCATAAAAAAGGGTCAACGTGAAAAATGTTTACTATTGAAGATGTACGGCTTCTGTTTTTATAATCATCCAAACGCCACATCACCTGAAAACTCTCACA